TTCCAATTAAACGACCAAACGGGAATTCCCTATTATCCTCATGAATTCTTACTCAAGAAAGTCACTCAGAGAAACGGTAGTGCTCACGCATACCCAATTCTACGAGAGAGAACTTCTCATCATCGGCCAGTCCCGCCACCTGCCACTAAACGCCTCCCTAATCTGGTAGTGGAATGTACTTCCCACCATTCAAACTCAACAAGAGGACGGGCAACGAAAACTAACACGAACGCGGAGTGATGTCAAACACATTCAAATAATTAAAGCTAGAGAGATTTGGAACGGGAAAACAACATTATAACATAAACGACGATATATTGAGTGTCTCTTAAGCTGGGTTTAGACAGGGCAAGTCAATTGATCAAGTCAGTTGAATTCAACTGACTTGAACGCAAATTTAACGTGTAAACCATGCCATTCAACTGACTTGATCAACTCACTTGAATTGAAAAAAGTTGAACCAGGCTCAACTTTTCAAGTCAATTGAATTCAACTGAGTTGATCATTTGACTTGCCTAGTCTAAACCCAGCATTACTGTTTTTTTTTTTTTTTTTTTTTATTTACTTTATTTGTACAGGCTCAATCGAATAAACTTTACAGAGCCGAGTTATCCTTTGCGTTATACATTATTACTGTCTTAAATTTAAAGTTAAAGGAACTGGACCGAGTACTCGCGGTTGTCTCGAGGTTAGTGGAGATTTACAATTTTTTTGATGGGAAAAGGGAAGAAGGAGGTTTGAAATGTGGTTTACGATACAACTATTTACTTAATCCTAAAGCATGAAATTATTTCTATTCATCTTGAAAACAAACATTAAAAAAAAACACCACACGTACAAAATACAAACTAAACACACGGTTAATCAAACTTACAATCTAAGGTTAATATCCTTAAAGTAAACATATATGAGTTTCATAAACTCCAGATCGCGTCTAGCCAAAATATCCCGAACTGGAACATTAGGTTGTCTACCTCGAGCCCGAAGGGAATCTTAAAAATGTGATCTGACTCCACGATACTCCGCACAAGACCAAAGGATGTGATCAGCGTCCTGGTAACCTTGTCCACATTCACAGAGATTGCTGTCTCCCAACCCCACACGGAACAAGTGAGCGTTTAGACAATAGTGATTGGACATGAGACGAGACATCACGCGTATGAAGTCTCGACTCAACCCTTTGAACCATGCAAACTTCGACACCTTACACACTTAAAAGTAACTAATTTTACACGAGACGTAATCCATCTTTGACGTAAATTATGGAACGTAAACAAACATGTCATGTAAAATTAAGTGTTCCCAAACCGAAACATACGCAACTCGACGAAAAGTACGATTGATTGAATATATTTTCTCGTTTCTTTCAACTGTTTCTTATGTCATTTGGGCCGCTTGCATGTGTCGGTCTCAGAGCACGGAAATTTACATGACTTTTTGGTAGTGTGTAGGGATAATTGAATGTAGCCATCGTCCCAAGCTCCCTTCACTCCATTGATGTTGCCAGCTAACGAGCGACTGCTGACGATAAATAGAGAAAAATTCACTATAGGTAACCCCGTTTTTTGGCCTTGATGAGGCTCTTGAGTTCGCGTTCAAGAGATGTGTATGCGTCGAAATGCTCGCGTGTTCCGCGTTTCCGAAAAAGTTTAAACGCGTCGGACTTTTTACGGTAAACCTCCGTGCATTGTTGATCCCACCAGAGCGATGGTGTTTTCTTACGGATTGACGATCGCGGCACCGGTCGTGTTTGAGCTTGAAGTGCGCTGTCGACGATGAGATTAGAGAGGAAATTATATTCCTCCAACGGCGGAAGCTCTTCCACTGACGATACTGTATCGCCTATCGCGGATTGGAACTTAGTCCAATCGATGTTACGGGTTAGATCATACGCGACGTTAACGGATTCTGACGAGTTGAACCCACTGGCAATCGAAATTTTGATCGGCAGATGATCACTACCGTGCGGATCCTGGATTACATGCCAAGTGCAATCCAACGATAGTGAATTGGAGCAAAAGGTGAGGTCTAATCTGCTACCATTCGAGGATGGACCAGCCAAACGTGTTACTTCTCCATTGTTAAGTATTGTCATGTTGAAGTTGTCGCAGAGATCATAAATCAAAGTAGAACGGTTATCATCGTACAGCTCCCCCCAGCCTGTACCGTGGGAGTTAAAATCTCCCATGATCAACCATGGAGCGGGAAGTACCGCACATATGTCGAAAAGTTGTTTGCGATTAACAGAGAATCTTGGAGCAATATATACAGAAGCAATACAAAGGCTCTTACCTTTAATGGTAGCCTGACATGCGACAACTTCAATACCGGGGAATTCGGGAAGATTCACTCTATAGAAGGAATGGCACTTTTTGATCCCCAAAAGTACCCCTCCTCCACGTGAATCCTCACGATCCAATCGAATAATGTTAAAATCGTAAAAAGGGAGTTCAATTTCTGAAGAGAGCCATGTTTCACAGAGGGCAAATGCATCGCAATTATTGTTATGGACTAAATACTTGAACGAATCTAATTTCGGAATAAGACTTCGACAATTCCACTGTAGAACAGTGATCAAATCCCCGACCTCGTTTGGAAAATTATCCATCGAAGGAGATGATAGCTGCAAGAAGGGGCCATTTTGAAGTCAATTGCTTCAAGAAGGATTTCACAGTGGGAAGCAATGTGAGGACAATGCTTTTCAGAGGATCAGAAATGTTGAGGTATTTGAGAATACCGTCCACAATGTCATCAAATGAGAACAACCCAGATGAAGAAGGGGTTTCTGTTCTTAAAATTGGGGCATCAGGGGTTTTGGATGTCCCCGGAAGAGGTGGAAAATCCTGGGTATAGTCAGTTCTGCGGAATCCAGGAGGAGTAGAAGTCTCCTTTTTTCCACCACTCCTTGATTTGGGCAAGCTGATTTGGGGTTCTTTATTTGCAACAATCCGCGAACGGATGCGCATTCGTTTCCGTGCAGAACCTTCCGGAAAACTGAAAGAAGTTCCCTCCTCAGCCAAGTCAGAGTCAGTCTCGTCATCTGACAAAAGAGAAAAGGGATTTTTGTCATTGGTCGATGGCGTGGCTGTCTTAAGCATTTCTGCAAAAGACCGCCTGGAACGTTCCTTAAGGGAGCGTTTCATTTTGTCCCCGAGCTGTTTGTACGCCGGGCACGACGAGAGAGCATGAGGAGGAGTTCCATTGCAGTACACGCATTTTGGTGCAGTAGCTGCGCAGGCGCCATCCTCATGCTTCTCCCCGCATGTGGAGCAGCGTGCCTTGTTGCCGCAGTGGGAGGCCGTATGTCCCAACCGCTTACAATTCTGGCAGTTCATGACCCGAGGTACAAACAACCGCACAGGAAGACGAAGTTTTCCCAGCTCGATGTATTGAGGAAGGGCAGATCCAGAAAAGGTCACCCGAAACGAGTCTGTGGGGGTAAAACTCTTTTTACCCTCGCTGAGCGATACTGACTTCATTCTATGAACGGCCAGTATCTTTACCGGAGGAAGCAAGGGGTTCTTAAATCGGCCAACCGCTTGCTTCTCCAGTATCTCGAGGTTCAGGCTCGCCTCAGTGACCACGCCTTCGATCTCCACATCAGAGGCTGGAATGTACACCCTATATTCCAGTGTGAAAAACTGGGAAACAGCAATTTCATTGGCCTAACCTAACCTTCGTTATTTCGGTCACGGCAGAGAATCGCTTTGTCAGATCATCAGATATCTGAACAACATTCAAGGGTTTGTTTTTGGGCTGAAAATAGACAACCCATGGGCCAGTCGAGTCATTCGGGTAGGCCCGCAATCTGGAGCTTTTCTCAGCCTGCCCATTGTCAGACTGAGACGACGAACCATGGATGACATCATCATTTTTCTTAGATGAATGGTCATCCATGTCGTCTTTTGACAAAACATCCATTTTGTTCAACTAGTGGGAGCGCAAAATGCTCTCCCACTGAACACACAGACACAATACACAGAAAACACTACAAACACAGAAATACAAAATGAAAATTTAACTAATGGGGGAGGAAAAGAAACAAAAAAAAAACAAAAACTTATCTGATAATTCTATACTACTACCACCGAGCGTTATATGTGTAGGCGTTTACGCAGATGGCTGGAAGAAACGCGCTGCGTGGATGACCTTCGTTGTGGTGCACTTGATCGAGTCTCGGTACTCAGCGCACACAGGCGATGAACGATGTAGATGTAGAAACGGGTGCTCACACTCGATGATGATAATACGTGCGCGGGTATGCGTAAGCGCGTATGCGTGACCACGCAACGATGATGCCCAAATTGGTTCGCGAATTTCCAATAGCACGGATTACTCTTTCCGAAAATGACACTCTCTACCAAAAAAAAAACTCACTTTTCGATCAATTTACCGGAAACTATGCCAGGAGTCACTTAGTGAGAAAAAAACTGATAATTTATATCAAACGAATACCGAGAAAACTTCCAAAACAACGGAGCGCGAAACAAGTCGACCGTACTTCTTGCTAGGACGCAGTGTGATGTACTGTTTAATTACATTTGTACAAAATTCATTTTATTTCTGTTTCTGTGTATTTGCCCCTATTCGCTCTCCTACTGTGTGCGGTTTTTCTCTTTCCCTAGCATACTCTCATTCTCGTTTTTATCTCTCATGGACTCATGTGCTCGGTGTTATGTGTTGTTGGGTGTCGTCACAAATCGGTAGCTCAGCTCTACCAAGGCATGTACTCCTGGTGGCAATTATTTGCAGCGTTGAATTACGCGCGCATGCTTTTAGCGGAATCGATGAGTCACGGGTTTCGGCAAGTCGTCACGAAACTCGACTCAAATTACATCAGCCTTAGGGCTGGCAAATAACTACTCCGTGGCACCCTCACCGGACGCCACACTCCACACTCCAACGGTCACAGTCGGATTCGACGCACTCGGTGTCGCGTTCGATGACAGCGTAGAAAGCGTCACCCCTTTGATGACGGTGGCAAATGGCGGTTTGGCGTTTCACACGTCTATACGATAGCGGTTACTATGCCGTGCCGGTTTTGATGACGAGCCGGCGTGTGGATCCTGTCCACGTGGAGGTCCCGAGCCTCCTCGGACCGATGTGATTGCGGATCTGTCCGCTTCCGGCCGGTTGGCAATTGCCGGGAAATTCCGTCCGACGGGGAGAAGTATCGCACTTGGGTGCGCAATTGGTTGCTGCGGAATGAAGGTACAACACTACAACAGAAAGTTGAACACAAACACGAGCGCGGACATAACAGCACATTTCGAGCACACCAAATTACCTTTTTCTTTAGCAACTCTCTCCTACCGCACACAACTAATTCACGCACACTTTAGTTTCTAACTAAACTCTAGAACGAACAGCAAAACTTTAATTAAATTGAACAATTGACATCACTTTATATTAGCATACTTTTCGCTATACTGACGGACACGAACAAACGCGCACACTTCTAAATTGGTGGAAAGTCACGGACGAAATGATCGAGCCTGTGAATCCTCATATTAAGGAAATATAAGACTCGGATGGACTGGAAGTCCATATTTTCTCGAAACCCATCGTGTACTTTCGTGAGTCCAAAGACACCGATAGAAGTGCCGTTGTCCCTTTCCTACCTTATCCATAAATTAAATGGACCCGTCTTGGGAAAGATTTCAGCAAAAAATGCTTGTGTATTCCTAGTGCCTACCATAAGGAATTTAATTTATATAATTTAAACCTATTAAATTATATACAAACTTATACAACATTCCTGATCGTTACACTATTCACAGTCCGCTCGATGAACATGTTGCGTAATGCGTTCAAAACATAGATGCCTCCCCTTGTGTCGTGGCTCCGGCGGATATGATTACAGTACAACAGATTTACTCAGCGCTGAAATGCACCAAGAACATAAAGGTTCCCGGGTTTGACGGTATATTCAACTTGATCTTGAAGAGACTCAGCTTGAAAGTGCAGTCTCTTCTAACCGCTATCTTCAACAGATGCTTGGAACTGCACTACTTTCCAAGCGTCTGGATGGTAGCAAAAATCATACTAAATCGCAAACCTGGAAAGGATCCAACATTGCCTTCAAGCTACAGACTCATTCTCAATCGTTTGTCGAGGAAAATAACATTATCCTTCCGGAACAGTTCGGGTTCAGGAAGGGGCAAGTCCACAGCCATGGCATTGATAGACGTTGAGCAAGCGTTTGACAATGTCTGGCTTGTATGCAAGCTTTGTAACTTCACCTTTCCTTTACTTCTTGTTAAAATCACCCGTAACTACCTTCAGCGAAAGTCGTTTAAGGTATCGTTGAATGGTAGTCTTTCAGACACGTTTTCCATCCCAGCAGGAGTCCCGCAAGGCAGCCTGTTGAGCTCGTTGCTTTACAGCATCTACACTTCCTACATTCCACCCCTTGTAGACGGTTGCATGTTTTTCCTGTTCGCAGATGATACCGCAATAGCCGTCAAAGGAAAGATGCCTCGCGAAATAACGAACAAACTTCAACGATGCCTTAACGCCTTTGTTGATTATGCCACCACGTGGAAAATCAAAATCAATGCCTCCAAAACACAAGCGATCATGTTCCTCCATCGGCAATCGCCCGAACTAAAACCGGCTCCATCTTGTACTGTAATCATGGATGGCACAAGGGTTGAGTGGTCTGCCGAAGTAACCTATCTCGGGATGTTGTTCGATGAAATGCTCCTCTTCCGTTCGCATGTAGAGAAAACTGCAGTCAAGTGTTCTGCTTTGGTTAGGTGTCTGTATCCGCTGATTTGCCGCAAATCACGCATCTCAAGGGTGAACAAACAAATCATAGCACCTGAGATCCTCTACGCAGCTCCGATGTGGGAATCATGTGCACAGACTCACAGGAACAAAATCCGACCTGCATTTTGTTCCTGTGAGTCTGTGCACATGATTCCGACCTGCTCAGAATAGAATGCTGAGGGTGGTTCTTGATCGTCCTTTCGACACTAAAATAACAAATTTACACGAAGAGGCAGACTGTCCCAAAGTAGATTCCAGAATGAACGAAATTAATACTAAATTTGCACAAAAATCTAATTCACCAGAACATGCTTTGATAAGCAATTTGTATATAGTAGATTAGATGTATATAGTAGTTGTTAATAGTAGTTATACGTAGTTTCCTTTTTTCAATTTAAAACAAACCAATCCCACCAAGGTTTTCATTCTCTAAAACAGGCCTGATATGGCTAGGAGCTGTAATTAATAATAATTGAAATTTCAAAAGAACTAAAGTTGAAAAGACGCATATGTGTCCCTTGATAACTTATACTTGTAAACATTACAAATACAAGAAATAAAGATCATTTAAAGTCAAAACAAAGTTTGACTGCAGTCATCGTTTGACTGCCGAGTGATAAACAGGGGTGTTCGTTGCATTGTACGCTGAACACGTCAAACAATAAGCCGCGTAAAAAGGGGTTGAGTGTAGTGTTGTATCAACGAATCGAGAACGAACAGACGTCGGCATCGACTGGCAAACGAGGAAGGAAAAACGGTTCACTTCGGAAAACTGCTGCTAGGGTAGATGCACCAGTTGTGCATATACGTTTCTACATGCCACAATAGGAATGTTAAGCCATGACTGGTACATCCACCCTACCAATTTTGCTCATTCTGTGGATCACAATGCATTCGACGCGATTTCCTCTCACCGGTCGTAATGTTGAAGGTTCTTTCGTAGAAGTCGGTAAGAATGCACTCAGTAGCACGCGATGGCAATTGAACGAAAGTTTTTCCTGCTCATTTACTACTTTTACACCACCACACCAGCGGCGCTTGTGTAGCACCTCGTTCATTAGAAAATGGATCTGTGCAGCAACGACGACATTCGCCCTCTGCAATACTGGAGCTTGTTTGTTCGTTCGCTACATGGCTCCTCGCATGGACGATCGTTTGGGAGTTGGACACTATCGTTTCGGTTATAATAATGGTTTCATATAATCGAATTTAAAACTAAGTTGATGCTGAACCGAAATCAGATTCCCAACAATTCTAGATAATACGTAGGAAACGTGGGGTAATATGTGCCTCCTAAGGAAATGATAGATTTTCCCTACATTTTAAGCAAAAATAAACATTATATTTCAGCGCATTCATTAGTCTAAATAATCTTCATGATGTTACCGAAAGCATCTCGTGAAAATATTCAAATATTCAAAACTAGTTTAGAGTGTAATCTTTAAATGTTACAAATCTCGACACAACCTGCCAAGTGGTTATCGAGATGGCTTCCAAGCAAAAAGTGCGCCTACAAAAAATTATGGAAACTGTCGTGGAAAATCCAGCCAGTCCCACAGGTGGATTGCGAAACAGTTTGGAATCGACAATTCGACCGTGTCCCGTGTGGTAAAATCGTCGACCCAGACGACCCAGCGGCTAGCTGGCAGCGGAAGAAAAGCGATGACGATCGACCCCGTGAACGCATGGAAGGTGAGGGATTACTTCAAGCGCAATTCGTTCGATTCGGGACGTGGCCAAGAAGGTCAATTCTTTCGTCTGGTTCGTCCAGCAGACAATGAAGCGGGCCGGATTTCATGTCTTCAAGGTAAGGAAGGTGTCTAACCGAACCGATAAACAGAATACGGTGACCAAATCCCGCGCCAGGAAACTGCACCGAGAGCCGGCAAGTCCCGCCTGGATGTTCCAGAAAAGTTCCGGAAGAAGAAGGTCAACAAATTTACCAAGAAGTACTTAGTGTGGCAGGCGATCTGTGAACGGCCCAATCAACAGTCCAATATATAAAGAAGAATGCCTCCAGAAGCACCTCCGGTCCCACGAAGGTGATACTATGTTTTGGCTGGAACTGGCATCGTACCATTACGCGAAACCGGTGATGGAATGGTACGAAGCCAACGATGTTGTTTTTGTGCCGAAGGAGGCAAATCCGCCAAACTCGCCAGAATTTCGCCCAATAGAAAAATTCTGGGCGATTATGAAAGGCAAGCTCCGGAAAACAGGGAAGGTCTTCAAAAACGATAAGGATATGAAAACAGAGTGGATGAAAGTGTGTAAGAAAGATGGCGCAAGTGTTGCACAGTATTTGATGGATAGCGTTAAATCCAAGATGCGGGCATTTACCCTAGAAGAGGAGGTTGAATAAACCAATTTTTGGTGGTATGTTGCATTTTTTTCGAGTACAGTCTTTATACACCCTAATGTTGAAGCACAACTTTAGAACACCCTTGCTTGTTTCAGATGACGTTTAAACAACTAATTATCATGCTGAATCATTGTTTGCATTTCGACCAACAGCTTCGTGTATCGCAAGTGTCGGTTCTTTAGAGTTCCGTGACAATGCGAAACATTTCTCTCAAAAGCGCAAACAGATCGTGCACAAATGGTGTACTATACGCAACATTTCTCTGAGTCAATTAGCGAAATTGGAAGGTGTAAGCATTGAAGCCGTTCTAAACGCGATTTGGAAGTATGGTATTGAAGCAACAATGACAACCGATGTTTACGTGCGTGAGTGTTTAAATAAGCGTCTGTTACCCATGGCCTGCAAACACGACGGCTCAGTACTGTTTTGGCTGGATTTGGCGTCGGTTCATTACTCCAAAGACGCGGTAGCCTGGTATGAAGCCAACATGGTCTAATTCGTAGCCAAGGAGATGATTCCGCCAAACTGTCCCCAGGCCAAGCCAATCGAAACTTTTTGGGCCCTGACTAAAGCATATTTGCGGAAACATGTAAAGGCAGCGGATTCCGTTGCAAAGTTTGCGAAAGACTGGGAAAAAGTATCCAAAATTGTTGGAAAGGCATCTGTGCTGAAGCTAATGAGTAGCTTGAGATCCAAAATACACTCCTTGACTTACGACTGATCGGATTTCGGATACGTTTAACTGTAAGAGAATACTATAGAGCACATGAATACGAAATTAAAATCACATTTGCTGTAAAGAGGGTAACCTTATCATTTTTATAAATCGTGCTTAGACATTCTGGGACACCCTATACCATGATATTTTGCTTAATAAACACTTCAATCATCTTTTTATTGCACCAACAGGTAGCAAAGGTTGAACACGAAAACATCCGGACACATTAAAAACGCAGCCATTAAGGCAATTTATGAGTATTTTTTTATTTAATTTCACTGAATCAAGCTAAGTGTGAATCAAATCACTATAGGCATTGGTTTTCAGAATAGGTTCATTTGTTTACATTATCGCTTCACCGGAGGAAG